GTGTGGTTCCCCCACCCTCTTCCGTGGATTCCAATGCAGATATGGCAATACAAAAAAAGAAAAAAAACCCCTCACTTTGATACAGCTTTGCTTAGAATGTTAAAAACCACAGGGCACGTGTAACTTCCTCAATAAGTAACCCTAACGTTCCAGCCGCCTGCTAACTAGGGTAGGTGGAAGAGCAGGCTCTGAGTTGAACTAAGAACTAGTGAGGACCAGGGGGGGGCCATTTAATGTATGCCACGCATACACACACACACACACACACACACACACACACGCATGCACAAACAGAGCCTCAAATATGCTGCAAAGCCACATCCACTGGAATTTGTCAACAATTCATCTTGTAAGCAAGTCAAAGGAGACCTATTCATTCACCCATGAAATCTATTTTCAGGGTACAGAGCATCACTTAAAAAAATAATAATAATCGGGTTAGCGCAGACGTGCAACACGTTCGTAACCCCGGTATAACATAATATAATATATACATATATGTATATTGGGAATGTGTGCTAGTTATTACTTATTTGAGTTTAGGGATTTCTTTTTCTTTTTTCTTTTTATTGAGTTGTTGTGATGTATTCTGTGTTTGGGGGAGGGGGGGAGCGAGGGACCTGCACCAAGGGAGGCTCATTCAGTTCCATTGTACACATGTTGTGCATTGACAATAAAAGTTTGATTTGATTTGAGTTGATTTGGTTAGTGGTTTATGGGGGGGGGGAAGGAAAAAAAAAGAAGAAGAGGAATGAGGTGAAATGGTTGAAGAGCGTGTTCTCTAGTCAAACCTTTCCAAACCAGCCAGCATGCGAAATCATATTTGTACAACAGGCACAAAGAAACTTTGTATATGCAAAAAACAAAAACAAAAAACTTGCATATACAGTCAACTTGCTTTAGGGTCTCAACCAGGCTCTTGTTGAAATCTCTTTCAAGTTAGTTTCTCAGCAAATATCCTGGCCTGAGCAGCCTTTTCATTAAGACTTATTTTCTTTGCAGGAGTGTGTATGTGTGTGTGTGTGTGTGAGAGAGAGAAAAGTTGCTGCTGCTAATACGAAATTTAACCAAAATCTTCATCGCAAATATATTCTTTGGGGTTGGGCGTGGTGGTAAAACTAACCACCCCTCCCTTTATTTACATCTTTATGCATTCTAGAACTTTCTCTGGGTAGAGAGAGTGATACCCACAAACATTTACCCATCCCTTCATTTGTATGCTGCTTTGATTTTCTTTTTCTTTTTTTGTTTTTGTCCACAGGCAACTCTGTTTTCATTTGACTTAACACGATGGAAGTAAAATCTCGGGTTTTTTTTTTTTTTTAATAGGGTTAAAAACGCTAAAACTCTCCACTGGCTTCTCCTTTTCTCCCCCCCCCCCTTGGGCACCCCCCCCCTCTCGTGCACAACGTAGGATCCGCAGTGTTAGAATCAACCCGCGTTTACTGTATAGCCCAACGAAAAAGAATGCCCGAAAGAGTGAAAAAGTGACACTCTTGCAAATCCAGAAACCGGTTTGGAGATATTGTTTTTTAAATTTTATTTATTTATTTATTTATTTGACATTATTTCATTCCTGCGAAATATCCGTCTCTTTGTTTGCATGGGGCCATGTGCGCGTGCGCACAGCGTGTACTGGCTCGTTCTCCCCGAAGTGTGCATATTATATCCCCCCCCCCCCCCCCCCCCCCCAGTCTGTGTACACGCGGACCTATTTTGAAGAAGGACTGAAGCTTCATGGCTACTGCTCTGGTGTGTCAGGAGAAAGTGGGGCAGCTGAAGAACAAGTTAAATTAAAGGATTTATTTTCTCTCCCACCCACCCCCAAGATGTTTAAACATTTGGGAGGGTTGTTATTGTTTAGTGGGACATAATGTAACTTCTGAGAGGCCTTCTAAAGAATGGCGGTTCCAAACTACCCTACCAAATATATTCTTCAATATTTGTAAGCGGAGGTCTATAGGTAGGGGCAGGAAGGGAAAAGAGGGATTGGATTAATCCAGCCAATTATTTAATAATTACCATATCTTGGAAGATGTCACAAAACCTTCTAAGGAAGAAATCTTCTCCTTCTAAGAAACACTTTGCCAGTGTTTTTTTTTTAAAAAGAAGAAAAAAGTACGGGGCTCCGGCGTGGGAGCTTAAGAAAGGAGCTTAAACATATTTTTCTATATGCCCATCCCTTCAAATGATAACAGACAAAAACATACCACCAGCCAATATTTCAGATCACCGCCAATGATTTGGTCAGGATGGGAGCAAAGTTGAGTTTGTTTTTTTTTTAAGACAGCAGAATTGGTTATTTATTTATACTAGACCTTAATGTCCTGATTTATGCATTCCATTTTAAATACTGCCACCTATCAATCTATCTTAATGAATCCCTACACCCCTTTCAATAATTAACTATGCACCCACACAGTCAATCAGTCTATTTGCCTGCCAGCCTCTGCCAGGTTCAACGGAGCAACTTCTTCAAGCTTATTTTTCCACTTTTGGATGTGGAACAATCTTGTTTGAAGGCTGGAGCTGATTAACCTAGAAGTTTGCAAATGTAAAGACCCACATGTAATTACCGAAAAGCAGTATCTACAGCTGTATATACCTCCTTGCTTTCTTCTTCTTTCTTTCCTCTTTTGCCTACTTTTAAATGCTAACAGACTAAAGTCAAAACTCTAAAAAAAAGTAAGGCCTTTGGAGTTTAGATCTTTGTATTAACTTTGTGTTAACAGGTAGAATAGAGGCGACAAGAGGTCAGATCACACAAGGAGGATGAGAAAAAAAGATTTTATTTTTTTTATTATGTCTGTCTGTCTGTCAATTATCTATCATCTATCTATCTATCTATCTATCTATCTATCATCTATCTATCTATCTATCTATCTATCTATCTATCTATCTATCCATCCATCCATCCATCCATCCATCCATCATCATCTATTATAACCTACCTTCCTTTCCCCCCCCCCTTTTCTCATCTGCTTGGCAGGACTAACAGGGAAAAAAAAGTCCTTGCTTTGCGAGGTGTTTCCAAACTAACCAAGATGAAACCAAACCGGAAACACAAAATGGGAAGAAGTGTAGGGGGCGGTGGTGGTGCGGGGCTGATGAAACTTGCAATGCACATCTGGCCTGAATCTAAGCAAGATACCAGAAACACACACACACACACACTGCATAGATTAAATGTGCTTTTGAAAGCTGTCACTCACCGAATTGGCATGGTGGGTTGTGATTTCTCCTCACTCATCCAGAAAAGAATACCCATGCCAGCTCTCCATCCTTGCCCAACCATAGATTTTTTTGGTGAACCAAACCACCCAAACTTGTTCTTCTCCTCTATAGCACAAATGGGGCATACTGAACTAATGATAACCATGGCTAAATAAACTTCCATTTATTGCATACCAGACTCTTTTTTTTTTTTTTAATGATGGGTTGGTTCATCAGGAAAACCCAAACAGGCCAAGCCCTTCATTTAAAACTAACCAAAATGCCACAAAACCTTGTTCTTTCTTTTCTGGGACTTTGGGATGTGGCCAAAAAAAAAAAAGAAAAAAAAAAGAGGACTTTCTGAACTTTGGTTCTGAGGAAATACAGCATAAGGAGCTCCAAGATTTAAGGAAATTTATATGTGTTCTGAGGTTTGGAATTATTATGGTTTGGTCACATAGTCAGCCAGATGTTTAGACTAGATTTTGGTATTTTTACCAACCTATCTAGTCCTTCCCAAGGAGCCAAGATAGGCCATTTTTTATGTTTGATGATGTTAAATGTTTCCTCGCAGGATGTAAGCTGTGCCCAGTAAAGCAGTATTATTATTATTATTATTGATAAATTATCACCGATACCGCAAGGAGTTCTCCAGCAATTGTCTGAGTAACTCTCATGCTTTCTGCCTCTTGGAAACCAAGACAGAAGACAAGGAAGGAACAGAGGAAGAATTTAAATTATGGGATGGCCTCGGGGGCTGTAATAGATTAAATCGGGCCTCTTTTGTTGGCCAAGTGGCTGCTGCCAATATTTCATAAAGGGTCATATTGTTTCCTCGAGAGGAAGGTAAAAACCCAAGTTATCTTTCACACGCGGAGAACAGCTCGCCGCTGGGAAGAGAGGAGAGGGGGTGGGTGGGAAAAAGCGCGCTCTTTGGAGAGAGAGAGAGAGAGAGAAGAAGAAGAAAAAAAACCGGGCCGCTGGCTCGTTCACGCAATTTACACCGTGCTCCTCTCGCTGCCGCTCTTTCCCCCTTTCTTTCTCCCTCTAGGCCGCTCCCCCCCGCCACCCCAAAGTACACCCCTACTTCAGACTCGGTGTTACCTTCCTGATTCAACCTAAATATTAAAAAAAACCCAATAACCCTGCTTTCGCGACCCCGAATCTTTGGCAGGTCTCCCTGTTAGGAGGAGGCCTTTGTCTCGGGAGAAGTAGAACGGTAGTGTACGTGTGCACCGGGTTTCCACACGCGCGCGCGTTTACAGGGAGTCTTTGAAGGTGCACACGCAGGTTCAAAACTTCAGTGATTCTCGGGGCCCCCTCCACCTCCAGCTCCACCTCCACCTCCCAGGCCCGCTTCCTAATCTCCTGTCTCTCTCTCTCTCTCTCTCCACCCCCCACCCCTCCCCAGCGCTGCCTTGGACTTTTGCAAGATGGAAAACTAAGTCCCGACTGACTCACTCTCTCCCCCCCACCCCCTCTACGCCCAAACCTTCCCCGCCTATTGCATTTGTCCCTCTGCTTACCGAGCGGTCGGGAAGAAACGCCACAACGGGGGGAGGCATTATTAAACCCTCCCGGGGCTCTTCTTTATGAAGCTGGATTTTCCTCCCAGGCAGACAGAGGTGCTTGCATCTCGGTGGAAGGCGGCTTGTTTTCAAAGTCTGCAATCCAAGAAGGACGGGGCCAGAGAAAGGGGGGGGGGAGAAACTTTCGGGGCCGCCGGCCCCCTGAAGAGATCCGGGGGTTTGGTCCCCACAAAAGGTTCTCTCTCTCCCCCCCCCCCCCCCCCCACTCCCTCCTTCCCCTGGCTTTCCTCTTGTTCGCTGCGACTTCGAATGTCACAGAAAGAAAAGGGGAAAGGAAAAAAAACAAAAAAACCAAGGAAGAAAAGAGAGCGAGGAAGAGGGAGCCCATATGTTTACTCCAGTAAGAAAGGCAAGGGGGCAGTTGTGACAAATCCCTGAAAATGGAGGAGCGCCGTCTACCATATAAGGTAGGATGCTAACTTGACCTTCACTTTGTAATGGCGGCCCCCGCCCACTGAGACAGACAGTTGTAAACAGAAGCCGCCTGGCAAAAAGGGAGGGAAGGAAGGAAGGAGGAAGGAAGGAAGGAAAAGAGAGGGAGAGGGAGAGGGAGAGGGAGGGAGGGAGGGAAGGAGTAGGCCACCAAAACTGCCAATACCTTTGATGATTTGTAAACTGCAGCAAGAGAGTTAACGTTTTCTCTAAACTCCAGCAGGGGAAGATGAATGGGAGAGACAGGGAGGGAGGGAGAGACAGGGAGGGAGGGAGGGTGGGAGGGAGAAAAGAAAGAGGGGCATGGAAGCCAGCCCGCTTCTTTATTAAAAGCCTATTCAGAAGGGCCCTCCAGTACTTGGCCTGGTTGATCCAATCCCCGGGGACTCTTGTTGTTGAATGTGGCCTTGAAGTAGTGTGTGTAGGGGGGCTGTTGAGCTGCAAGGAGGGAGGGAGGGAGCCACTTCTTTTAGTTCAGCCCTCAAATAGTTGCATGTCCCTTCATCAGGAGTGTGGGAAGCTTTCATACTAGTTTCAGCACCAGAGGCTGGGGGGAAAAAAGGTTAATGTGATAACCAACAGAAGGTTTTGTGAATTTAAGCCAAATTGATACCAAAACAAAGAAAAAGAAACAGGCACCTCTTCCTTCCTTCCTTCCTTCCTTCCTTCCTTCCTTCCTTCCTTCCTTCCTTCCTTCCTTCCTCAATTACTTCACAGCTGTGGTTAAAGTTTGCAACTAATCAGAGAATAAGATTAAGTTCACTTTATTACACATTGAATGTGGAAGGGATTCAGTAATGAGGACTGTTCCACATTTGTTTGTGTGTGAGAGAAAGTAGCATAGGAATGGTCTGTTTACTGTATCCCTGAATGCCTGGCACACATGACAAATACACACTTACACCCACCCACAAACATATGCCAGACACCCACAGAGAAAAATGTTCTCTCTCCCATTAGAGAGAAGGAAAGGAGGGGGGGGGGACATGGGGAGGTGTTAGATTTATTGGTATGCAATATTTATTTAAAGACACTCTCCTCTGTTTCAATGAATAGGGAAGGCTGGGAGGTCCATGTCTTGGTCAAGGTGAAGTGAGGCTATCTCAAAATTAAAAAAAAAAAAATCAGTAAGATTTCTTTCTCTGATGTCAGGAAGGGAACTTAGGGAGGGGAAAGCCCACAAAAAGGCAGTACTGTAACATCCGTCTCCTTTGCTGGTGTAGAGAGATCTACACACTCATTTCCATGGGACTTCAATGCCTTTTTGCTTGGGCTGGATCGTGTCCTTTACTTCATTGGTTCAGGCACACTGATAGGGGTAGAGCAGAGTTCTGTTAGTGAAGATGTAGTAGTGTGTTTGCAATCCTGACAAGGTAGGCCAACACAGGCAGGGTGAAAGAAAGGGTGGATTGTTAAAGTTTTATAAATAGTCTTATTTGTGTCTGTCATCTGCCTCCATGTCTCTAGTCAACGTGGGCTCCTGACCAGCATCTCTCATCACTACCACATTGGGAAAACATTCATTTTACAGAGGTTTTACATGCATGAGAAAAACGAGGGGGATTAAGTTGGAAACTTTGCCAATAACTATGGATAGAGTCCTGACATTCTAATAGTTGCCGCCTTTCTTTCAAACCTCTTGGTTTCCTTTGGACTCAGAAGTAGTTTTATTCGGAAAGCAATAGCCATGAGATTAATTTTAATTTACAATAATCACTATTGGCAAGAGTGCAATCCACATGCCTGCATTCTGGTGTGCAACAAGTATTGGGGGGAAAAAAGCAGTATTTCTTCCCCTGATTGTTTCTAAGGCTGATGGAGGCATGGAAGAAAAGAAAAAAAAAAACCAGTGCCCATTACCATCATAATTATTTTTTTGTTTTACAAGTGCTCAGTGTGGGAATATCTCCTCCTTGAACGGTACCCAGACACTTTGGTTCTTTGAGGATTTTGAAGGAAAGCCAAGGTAGCAGTTGAGCAGCTTAGATATGCTGCCTGTTTCACCTTGGGGGTGGGGGGGAGGGGAGAAAGCCACACAAGGTAATGTCCTCCTAAAGAGACCCTGATGCTAATAATAATGATGATGATGCCTGCATTTGGAGCCATTATTTAATATTAGTATTTCATTTCCCCCTGTTCCCTTTCATGAAATAGTGCTAATGATGCATGATAATCATTCTGTTCACAAACCTCATAACAGATGAATTATTCTTCATCACCGAAATGAATTTCCACATGCCCTGTAAATTATACACTCCTAGCCAATGAACATGTGTCTTGGAGAAGATAAAAGGAAGTCTTGGGTACCACGGCTAAAGCTGTTCTGCCTCCTCCTTTGACTTTGGCTAGGATT